TGCATTGCTTGTGTGTGCCATACTTGTTTGTGCATTGCTTATGTGTGCTATAACTCTCTGTGCATTGCATTGCTTGTGTGTGTGCTTTATGTTTGTGCATTATGTGTGTGCTATACCTGTTTGTGCATTGCTTGTGTGTGCTACACCTCTTTGTGCATTGCTTGTGTGCTATACTTGTTTGTGCATTGTTTATGTGTGTGCTATGCCTGTGCATTGCTTGTGTGTGTGCTATAACTCTTTGTGCATTGCGTTGCTTGTGTGTGTGCTTTATCTGTTTGTGCATTGTTTATGTGTGTGCTATGCCTGTTTGTGCTTGGCCTGTGTGTGTGCTATAACTCTTTGTGCATTACCTGTGTAGGTGCTATACCTGTTTTTGTACATATTGCTTCTACTGCATTCACGTGATGGGACTGTTTCACTCTTGTCTCTGTTTTCCCAGCGCCTGGCACTGGGTACTTAATAAACATTGCTGCTATATTGATTGATTGTTAGGTAACAAATGCAGGCTGCGGCGCTTGAGCTTTTGAGCTTTGAGCTTTGAGGCGATTCCAAGGCGCAGAGATGAGGAGGCCGCGCATTGCTGGTGTGGGGAAGGCCAGTTTGCCTGGACTGCAGAGTGTAAAGGGGGGAAATACAGAATAGACCTGGAAAGGAGGGCCGGAAACAGGTCACGAAGGGCTTTAAAGGACAAACAGCAAGGTTTTAGTAAAGTCTGAACTAGCAGTGTGACGCGGCGGGAGAACCCCCCTCTGGGGTCAGAGGACCCGAGTTCCAATCTCATTTTTATGCTTGCTATAGGTGGGACCTTAGACAAGTCATTTCCACCCGTGGGCCTCAGGTTCCTTCTCTGTAAAATGGGGAGAATGGAATAGGCCTCTGAGGTCCCTTCCGGATCTAGGTTTGTTACGAATGAGGGAATTGTGGATAGAGTTCGGGTAAAAGATCTTTTTTCACGAGAGTCCGGTACTAGATAGCCGAAGACATCACCTCGGCCGGGAAATGACCCGACAGACCACGCCCACCCCGCCCCCTCCGCAGTTGGTGACTAAGTAGGAAGTAGAGTGCGAAGCGCGCCTGCGCGGGGACGGCCTTCCTCCGCGCACCGGAAGCAGCTCGCGGAGGGGCGGGGCGTCATCGGCGAGCCGGAGCGGGCGCGAGAACGAGGCCGCCCAGGGTTCCCGCCGCGGAAGGGGCCATGCTGAGCGGGCCGTGGCGACGAGCTGCGTCTGCGCTGCGGGCATCGGCCGCCGGGAGCAGGGCGGTGCACGCGGCGGGGCCCAGGCCGGCTGCCGACAGCCCGGGGTCGGACCCGGCCTCGCCTCCGGCCGCCTTTGACGCGGCCTTGCTGGACGTGCTGGTGTGCCCGCTCTCCAAGAAGCCTCTGAGGTTAGGCGCCCTGCGGGGAGCCCGGGCGGGGCGGGCCGGGCCTAGCCCCCAGCCTCTGGTATATAAGGGAACCGAGGCCCGGAGAGGGCAGATGACCCCGCCATGACCCCAGGCACTGCGGGACACCAAGGGCACGCGCGTTCAGATAGCGCCTCCCGTTACGGCCCACGTGACCCGGGCGAGTCACCTGATCTCTCCGGGGGCCGGGCTTGGAGCCTCCAGATTTCAAGTCTGCTCCCTTTGCAGCGTAGCTCGAGGCCTAGGCTGGAGTTGTTTATTCCCGTTTTGTAGAGAAGAAACCGAGGCTCGTCTGGCTCATAACAGCCGGGAGACGGCCTTCCAGCATCATCCACCCCCACCAGCAGATGGATCGATAGATTTCATCTATACTGTATTTATTCAGCATACATACTGTATATTGCGTATGGGCCGCATATATGTATGTGTGTGCGCGCACGCGTGTGCATGCATATATACTGTGTATACTGCCCATATACTATATATGCAATAGACTTACTGCTTTCCTGTTCAGATCCTCTAATTCTGTTTTATCCAGCTCCTAGAATGCTTCAGCGTGGCGCTATTCAAACTGTTCTGCAGCAGTGAAGGTTACAAAAATGATTAGTAATGTTTTTTTTTTTAACAAAATGGAATGTTAGAGTTAATATAAGAAGGGGACACTTTAGTATTGATGGGGATCAGGAAAGGATTCAGGGAAGACTTGAGGAAAACTAGGGAAGTTGGGGATTTGGAGAAGAGGGAAAGCATTTCAGGCATGAAGAGCAGTCGGTGAAAATGTAAGATGGATTCTTAGGTCAAAACAACAACAAGGAAGACAATGTCATTGGGTCTTATTGTGCTTGGAGGGGAATAAGGTGTAGGAAGACTGGAAAGGTGGGAAGGGGCCAGGTGATGAAAAACTATAAAAACCAGAGGGTTCAGGTGGTACTGTGGACGGAGCACTGGCCCTGAAGTCAGGAGGACCTGAGCTCAAATATGACCCCAGACATGAGCTGTGTGACCTTGGGCAGGTCACTTAACCCTATTGCCTCCCAAAACGAAACAAACAAAACCCCCATAGGATTCTGTACTTGATTCTGGAGGTAATAGGGAACCGCTGTGGTTTACTGAATGGTGACATTGGCAGACCTACACTTTAGGAAAACCAGTTTGACAGCTGAGTGGAGAATGGACTACAGTGAGGAGAGACTTGAGGATGGGAGATCAACCAGCAGGCTGTTTCAGTTATTCAGGTGTGAGGTTGGAGGGTCTATATCCAGGTGGTGTCCTCCACTCCTCAACCTCCCCCCACATATCCAGTCCGTTGGGTGGTGGCAGTACGAGAGGAGTAAGGGAGGGCCGTCCAAGAGATGGTATGAAGGTAGAAACAACAAGAGTTGGCAACAGAATGGATATGAGGGGTGAGAGAGAGAGGGAGAAGTAGAGGATGACACTGAGGTCGTGGTAACTAACTGGGAGGGTGATGATACCCTCAACAGTAATAGGAGGGTTACAAAGAGAGGAGGATTTGAGGGGAAAGATATGTTCAGTTTTGGACTTACTGAGTTTAAGATGTTTAGGAGATATCTATTTCAAGATGTTCAGTATGCAGTAGGCAGTTGGAAATCTAAGACTATATGTCAGGAGTAGTGTTAGGGATGGACAAATAGATTTGAGAATCATCTTCATAGAGATGATAACTGAATCCCTGTGAGTTGATGAGATCAGCAAGTGAAATAGAGGACACAGGATAGAGTCTTGGGGGACGTCCTAGGTTAGTGGGCATGAACCAGCTGAGATTCTAGCAGTGGAGCCTGAGAAAGAGTCATCAGACATGAGGAAGGAAAACCAGAAGAGAACAGTAGCACGAAAACCTATAGAGAAGAGAGTAGTAGTTTGGTGGTGGTAGTGGTAGTAGCAGCAGCAGCAGTAGTAGTAGTAGTAGTAGAAGAAGTAGAAGTAGTAGTAGTAGTAATAGTAGTAGCAGCAGCAGCTGTATACTAGTATTGGAAGATAAACATTTATTAAATCCTAGTGTTCAGTGGGCACTGCGCTAAGCACTAGGCATGCAAAGAAAGGCAGTACAGCCCCTGCCCTCAAGTTTACCATCTAATGGGGGAAGACGGCTCATAAAAAAGAAACTGAAGGGTGGGAGGGGAATGAGGCATGATGAAGTCAGGAATGCAGCTGATGAGATGGATGCCCTGGGTTCCCTCCTTAAATGGAGGATCTGGGAGGAGTTCACTGTCCTCCCCCCCCCCCCATCTGAGGAAGGGAGGAGCCCCAGGAGCAAAGGGTACAAGGAGGAGGGTGATCAACTTTGTCCAAGGTTGAAAAGGTAGAGAAGAATGAAGAGAAAAAGGAAAGTCTATTCATGACAACCTCTTTCCCTTTGCTCAAGTGGTCCTCTGTGTCTGGAATGTACTCCCTCCTATACTTTAAATAATGAAAATAATGATAGCTAACATTTATGTAGCACTTACTATGTGCTAGGAACTGTGTTGAGTGTTCTACAATTACAATCTCATTGGCTCCTCACAACAGCCCCAGGAGATAAGTGCTGTTATTGTTCCTGTTTTACAGATGAGGAAAACTGGTCAAGTGACTTGTCCAGGGTCCTACAGCTAATGTCTGAGGTCTCTATCCACTGCACCTTGGTGCCTCACATACACTAATTAGCTTCCTTCACAGCACGGCTTAGGTGCTATTTCCTACAAGAGGAGTTTGCTGATATTCCCTGTTATTAGCACTCCCCCCCCGAAATTACTTTGTATTTACTTGTGTCCATGCTATATATCCCAATAGAATGTGTGTGTACAAAACACTCTCTTGTTTTGTCCTAACATTTCTAGTATTAGTATTTCTAATACCTAGCAAAATACCTTGCTCAGTAAATGGTTGTCACACAAGCCTGTGATCTCTATTAACAGATGAGTTATAGGTTCATAGAGGTGAAATGATTTACCCATATTGACACAGCTAGTCAGTGTTTGAGGCAGCATTGAAACTCAGGTCACTCCTGATTGTCCAAGACTTCTTCCCCTGTGCTGTGCTTCCTCTTAAAAGGGATGAAACTATTTTGGGTGGGCAGAGCGATTTGATATTTTCTGTGTAATATGGTAGAACAGACAGATCTGAAAAGGTATAACAAAAATAGAAAAAGAAAAATGACTTTATATGGAGAGAAAACAGCCTGAAGTGGGAAAATTATGAAATTCTTTTTCAGAAAAACAGTACAGTTATCCATGGGAGAGTTTAAATTTATACTGGATTAAAGCAATAGTCCCTTTATAGGATAGAGCTGGATAGACTGAGTTATTTACAACCATATTCTGGACATTTTATTTTTTTCCAGTAACTTAAATAATTGATTTATTCGTACTTGTTTTGCTTAGGTACGAAGTATCAACAAACGAACTGATTAATGAAGAACTGGGAATTGCTTATCCAGTCATTGACGGCATTCCTAATATGATACCACAGGCAGCAAGAATGATACGCCGGAATAAGCAACAAGAAGAAAAAGAACAAGAGTAGGCCGTTCCTAAACGCCAGACTCCAGGACACCGTACGTTGGGAGGAGGAAGAGATAAGCAGTCAAGGAAAATGTTTCTGTCTCTGCCAACTCTGACTGTCCTTGTTCCTCTCATCTCTTTAGCTGGACTGTTTTACTCCGCCTCTGTAGAGGAAAACTTTCCCCATGGTTGCACCAGCACCAGCAGCCTGTGCTTTTACAGTCTTCTCTTGCCGATTACCATACCAGTGTATGTGTTCTTCCACCTCTGGACTTGGATGGGTATCAAGCTGTTTAGACACAACTAATGCCAGAGGCTACCCTGAGAGACTTGATGTAGTAAAGGCCATGTGATTGACGTTTAAACAGAAAAATTTCTTATTTTACTCCACTTAGTTCTTAATGTGCTGGAGTGATCTCATTTTCATAGGGAACTAAGATTTTCATCTTTCTCTTAGAAACTCTGGATTAAAGAAAGTTAAAATGAGTTTTTTCATCTTGCCTTTTTCATAGTTGCAGTGGGGAGGATTGGAATCCCTATATTCGTTTCATTAAAGTATTCCCTTGTTAGACTTAACAGTCCTAATCTTGATCTGTATAAATACTTGACTTTTAGTTTTGATTATACTCCACTAAAAGGTAAATACATTTACCAAAAGGTTTTTGGATTATTTTGGTTAATAGATTAAAGGCAATGGAAGGCAATGATAAAAATAACAGATATTTTCAAAGGCGCTACGCCAAATAATTTGTTCATTTAAATAGTTTCAGATAAATTCATTTGAACTATATTCATACAAAAGCTTACAATAAAGTGGAAATTGATGTGTATAGCAAAACTTCTATTTTGTATCTTTATTTCCAGAATTACCATGGGAAAATAGTTAATCTACAATTAGTCAGCAAATATATATTGGGTGCCTACTAAGTTCCAGGCACTGTGCGAGGTGCTGGAGCATACAAAGACCAAAAAAAAAAAAATTAAAGCCCTGCTTTTCAAGGAACTCTGCCTTCTAATAGGTGAAACAAGATGTGAATAAATAAATGTTCAGTTGTGTCCAGCTGTTCTTGACCCCCATTTGGGGTTTTCTTGGCAAAGATACTGAAGTGGTTTGCCATTTCCTTCTCCAGTTCATTTTACAGATTAGGGCAAACAAAAGTAACTGATTTGCCCGGGGTCACTCCACTTTTAAGTTGCCAGATTTGAACTCGGGAAGAGGAGGGCCCAGCCCTCTATACATTTTGCCACATAACTGTCCTATAAATAAATACAAGATTATTATTTTTTTTAAATGAGGATATTAGTAGCTGGGAAGATTAGGAAAGGTTAAGTATAGGAAATGACAGGTTCTGAGGTAGAATTGAGGCAGTGAGGCTTTTAGGCATTGGTACACAGGTGGGAGATGGAATGACAGGTGGGGAACAGCAAGAGAACGCAGGCTGGACTGGAGAGCGTAGGATTGGAAATAATAGATTATGTTGGAAACGGAGGTTGGAGCCAACTTGTGAAAAGCTTTGCTTAGAAGCTGAGTGGGAGCTTTTCTTTGGTCAGAAGCGATAGGGAACAATTGGAGTTTATTGAACAGGGGAGGGATGTGGTCAGACTTGTACTTTAAAAAGACTTTGCAAAAGAGAGTTTGAGGGAATAATTAAATATTATTCCAAATTTTAGATGTTACATTAGAAGCAATTATTGCTTGAAACTCTTTACCAGCTTAAAAGGTTGGAAAACAAACCAGGATCAGGGATTCAGAAATAGAAAGGACGTGAAAGGCCACTGGGTCCAACCCCCTTATTTTGCAGATGAGGGACCTGAAGCATAGGTGAAGTATGCTTGCACAGGGTCACCCGAATAGTGCCTGAGGCAGGGTTTGAGCTGACCTCATCCTGACTGGGGTTTAGCCCCTCCATGATTCCTCTGGGCCATTTTTAGTTACCTTTGATTTAGTTTTATTCCCTATGTTGAGTAAGAGACAAAGGACAAATATTTGATGACTTCATCATAATAGTTTAAGGGATATTTTTACAAAGTACTAGGGTCCCAATGGCATGATGTAAATGCTGATACATACCGAATTGTTACGCTGTTATCCATACACTTCACAGAATGTCCGAAGTGTAAGGGTGGTGAAGGGACTATGCTAAATATTTTACAAATACTCTCATTTAATTCTTAACAACATCACAAGGTAGGTGCTGTTTTTAATCCCATCTTACAAGTTAAGGAAACCAAGACAAAAGATGAAGTGACTTGCTCAGGGTCACACTACTTGTGACTATCTGAGGCTGGTTTTGAACTTGGGTGTTTGACTCTGGAGCCAGCATTTTATCCCTGAGGAAGGGACCTCAAAAGCCATCTGTTTCAACTCATGGCTGTCTCCTCTACAACATACCCAACAAATGATTATCCAATTTTTGAAGACTTTAAGTGGAACCCACTGTGTCCCAATGTAGCCATTTCCACTTTTGGAGGGTCCAGACTATTAAGGAAGTTTTTCCTTACACCAAGATTAAGTATACCTTTAATCAAGCATTTATTAAGCACCCATTATGTGCTAGGCACTATATTACAGACTAGGGATACAAATACACAGAATAAGACAATGAATATATACAAAACAAATGCGATTTCTGGTTCTGTTTCTTAGGTCTGGCCATCCAACCAATTCTGTCTGAATTGTCTGGCCCACAATCTTCCCGTCTTATTCACAAAATTAGCATGATGCTTCGTTAAAAGCTTTGCAAAAATCTAAATTATATCTATAGCATTCCCTTGATAATTATTGGCATTTACTCAAATTGGCATTTATCTAAGCCTTGAAGATTTTCCAGACACTTTGTACATTATTATTTCATATGATGAAACTGTGCAGTAAAACTGAAAAAAGGAAATGAGTTATTCTTGCACAATCTGTTCTTGAAGTCTTGTAGCACTTCCATGATCATCTCTTTTTTTTTCACGTTTGCTCTGTTTAACTTGTTTTGCCCTGAATAATAATTCTAAAATTTAACAGCATCATGTTCAGCAGGTCAAAATAGCCTAGATTTCGAGCTGAAAGGGACCTAGAGGGGTCATCTCAATCATCCTTCCACCCATTTTACAGATAAGAAGCAGTCGCAGATAAGTGACTCGCCTAGTGTCCCACAGGTATTAAGTAGCAGATTAAGATTTTGAACCCAGGTCCTTTGACTACAAATCCAATTTTTTTTCCACAGCATCATATTGCTTCTCAGCTGTTGCTTCTAGGGTAGGTCCTTAGTACTTGTCTGCTGCTGAAGTCCTTTGCAGGCCCAGTCAAGACTCAAGGCCCAAGGTCCACCCTTCCTTGACTCAGTGTGATCATCTGCACAGCAGCTTAGGCGTACATGGAGAATGAACAGGTGTTAAGCCTGGCTCACTTGCTACACACATCTTTATGGCATCACCTTGCCAATGGGAAAGGAAGCATAAAAATTAACCTGGCATTCCACAGTCAACACAGGATGGGCTGGCATGGATGACCCAGTGGAAGAGAAATCTTGGAAGAAGAAAAGTGGACCAGAGGACCTTGGAACAGTGTTGACAGAAAACTTGCAATTCCTTAGTTCTTACCTTTAAGTGGAAATTCCTATGTGCAACTTGAAGAAGTAAAACTCAACACATGCAATTGATAGATCAGCAAACCTAACAACTTAGTTATATGTAATTTTAAGGTTGGAAAATTGTTTTAAGTACACTGATTTTTATAACAACCTTGTGAGGTAGGTGCTATTATCATCATTCTCATTTTGCGGATAAGGACATTTAGTCGAAGAGAAAGCAATTTGCCCAGGGTCACATAGTAAGTGTTTGAGCTAAGATTTAAAGTCTTTCTGACTCCAAATTTAGCACACTCTCCACTATGACCTGCCACCTTTCAGGATAAAATGTATAAAATAGGGCCCCTCTCCTCAAGGACCTCATAATAGAGTGAGGGAAACAACACATTCCAAGATAACAATATCTCTGTCCACTGCACCACCTAGCTGAGTAGAGTTATAATGAGTCAACTGAGCCCAAGGTGACGGGAATTGCTAAAAGGTCACAATGCCAGGACTAGACCGTAGGACACTTAACCACCATACTCTTTATGCTACATTACAGTTGCCTTGATAACTGTATAGAAAACTTTTTGAGGATAAAGACCAACTCTGAATGTGGGCGTAAGTTTTACCCAACTGAATTTCACAGCAGGGAATCCTATTAACAGAAGGTTTACAGAAAAACAGAGACTAACATAAGTAATTTTGTATAATGGTCATTTGAAGCATGGGGAGTGTAGTAAATAAGGTCTGCCTTCTTGCTGAACGACATGCAGAGAAAATCAGAGAAGAGTCTAGGAAGAAACTATTGGGGAAAAGCAGAAGAGGAATTTCTACACTTTTCCTGTGGGGAGATGGTTTTTAAATTAAATTTAAAAGGCAAAAAAAAAAAAAATTTACATCTAAAAAGTAATTTTGTGCACAAAACAAAAATAGGCTAACCTCCTTCTTTGCATATATGAATTTATTTCCAACGCTGTGTCCTTTATACAACCCAGGTTAGGGCTCTAAGAACTTTTCACTCTTCCATCCATTCTTTCTGTCTTCTGAATACTTCTGACTCCACTCTTTGCCTCATCTTCTGAGCCTGAATCGACGCCTATTTCTATTGCTATCATCTCATCTCATCTTATTCATTCATTCATTTTATTCAACAGCCATAAGTACCATGATAAGCCCTTCTTACATCAAAAGCACTGTAGCAAATGCTGAAGACACACACTAATACTTAGAATGAAGCAGGCTACGATGCTTCTGCATTGCTCTTATGATTTCACTTTTTACAAAAGTCATAAATATATTCCATTAGCTGCATGGTCATTTTATTGTACATTTTCAGTCCCAATGTCTTTTTTTTTTTTTTTTTGGCAAAGGTTTGAATGATGGCTAAAGGGCAAATCCTCTGTTGTTATTGATGGCTATTTGAAGGACTTCTTCCACTCTTTCCATCGTAGAATATGGTGGGAGGTATAGATTATGAAAACAGGTATGTACTATTGGAAGTTCATCTTCCCTCGCAGATTCAGGATGGATAAAATTTATTCCCCTATTCTGTATGTCTTGGGCTTGAAGTCTGTCACTTCCTGTAAGAAACACTTTAAAGAAAAATAAAATTAAGGGTAGTTTTTAAAAGATCGAGCACAAACTCAAAGTACAGAGAAGAAATTTCATTTGTCCATTCAGCAAATATTGAATAATGTGTGTTATTATACTTTAAGTATTGGGCAGAATACAAAGTATAGTTCATGGTTCCTGCCCTCAAGAAGCTGATAATCTAGATGGGTATACACGGCATTTATGCATGAAATGGTAAGTAACATTATAGGATTTAATATTTCTTAAATACACAATACACACACATATATACATACACACATACAAACACAAACAACAAAAAAATTCTGACCATAAATATCATCTATGGTGACAGGGAAGCTAAAGACACAAACTCAGAAAAGATCAACTTGGAAACATCTACAAGCACAGCCTCAAAGAAAAATACAGATTGGACACAAGTCCAATAAGCATTCCTAGAAGAGTTTTTTAAAAAGGATAAAAAAGGAGCAAAAAAAAAGATTTCATGCTGGTACGTGCTTAACTGACAAACAAATGAGACAAAGTAAATAGGGACTTGAGTCATCAAGAAGTAATGGAGAAACTGGAATTTGAGTTGGGATTTGAGGAATTGATAACATTTAGATCGAAGGAAAGAAGGGGACAGAATATTTGAGGCAAGAGAAATGGCATGATAAAAATCTCAGAAGGAGTATGCAAAATGTGTTTGGGGGCCATCAGTCAATCAGGAGAAGAGTGATATAAGTGATAAGGTTGGAAATTATGGTTACATGGGATACTACTGCTCTTTAAGAAAGTAACTCTGTGTGTGTGTGTATTTTTTTTTCCAGAGATGCAAGAGAAGATTTACATGTATTGAGGCAGACTGAAAGCGGCAGAGTAAGAAAAACAATATACACAAACACTACCACTGTCCAGACTGCCCTAAATGGTGAAGGCCCCTCAGGGTCTGCTATAGCTAAGCTGGCTCCAACCAGCTAGCATTTATTATGTACTTATTATACATCAGGCACTGCACTGGACTCTGAGGCCCATATTGGCATTAGGAGAAATTACAAGATCAGATGAAGCACTTTCATTATATAGAGCTTCAGCACGAAGACATTTCCTATAACAACTTATAAATTCAAGAATAAAATTTGTAAACAATCATGATTAAAAAAAAAACTTGAACCATCCTTTTCCATGAAATTTTACAAATTAGTTTATTTACTCTAATTTGGCATTGTGATTGGCTGCCAAATCTCTCTGCTTGGAAATTAAGTCAAGCATCTGCTGACTAAGCCAGTTTTTAAGCTCTTATGTTCTTTTTTAAATTTTTAATTTTTTTAATTTATGGACTAAAGCATTTCCACAACACAGTATGATAAAAAATATGATTATACATGAAATTGCATATTTAATATGTACAACTTGCTATTCCTTTAAAGTATATAATAAAGTTATCATGTAAATGTCTTTTTTTCTCCCCTTTGCCCTAGAGATGGCTACCATTAGACACAAATAGGTATATATATATATATATATATATATGTGTGTGTGCATGTGTGTATGTATATATGTGTGTGTAGACACACACATATATACATACACACACACAAACACAAACACCAAAAAAATTCTGACCATAAATATCATCTATGGTGACAGGGAAGCTAAAGACACAAACTCAGAAAAGATCAACTTGGAAACATCTACAAGCACAGCCTCAAAGAAAAATACAGATTGGACACAAGTCCAATAAGCATTCCTAGAAGAGTTTTTTAAAAAAGGATAAAAAAGGAGCAAAAAAAATCATTTAAAAAAAACAAATAAGAGCATTACAGGAAAAACTGGGAAGAGAAATGAGAGCTATGCAAGAAAATTACAAAAAACAATTAACATCTTGGTAAAAGTGGTATAAAAATCTCACTAAAGAAAGTAACTCCTTAAAAATTTGAACTGTTCAGGTGGAAGCTAATGCCTCCATGAGACATCAAGAAACAATAAAACAAAGTGAAAAGATTGAAAAAATAGAAGAAAATGAGAAATATCTCATAGGAAAAACAGTTGACTAGGAAAACAGATTGAGGAGAGATAAATGAAGAGTTACTAGACTACCTGAAAGCCGTGATAAAAAAAAAAAGGGCCTAGACATTATATTTCAACAAATTTAAAAAAACTGTCCAGAGATCTTAGAAATATAGAAACAATCAATAATTTCATTAAAGATAATGATAACAATGAGACAACATACCAAAATTTGTATGATGTAGCCAAAGCATTACTCAGGGGAAAATTTATACTTCTAAATGCTTACATCAATAAAAGAGAGAAAGAACAGACCAATGAATGAAGTATGCAACTAAAAAAAAAACCACAAACAACTAGAAAAAGAACAAATTTTAAATCCCCAATTAAACACCAGAATAGAAGTGCTAGATTTGAAATCCTGACTCCAAGTCCTAATATCCATTCATTATACCACCTAGCTACCCCTATTTGTAGCTCTATCTTGGGCTGACACTGGAAATCAATAACAAAGTAGAATAATTGGGAGGGAGTGCCCTGAATTGCTTTTAGGAAAAAGTTATTTTGATGTTCCCAGGCTTCTCCCTAAAACACTCTTTTTTTTCACTACCAATATTTTTCTGGTGTTTTTATGTATCTGTGAGTAAAGGAACATTACAGCCCCCAGACAATACTTAAGTTCACAAAAATTGTAATGCAGGGGTATGTGATGTACATACGTGACTGTAAAACATCACAAACAAAGGATTATGAAAGAAAAGTAGTGTAAAACATGTCATCGAAAAAATGAATAGGGAAAAAACCTCAAAGTAATCTAGTCCCATGAAAAGTACAAGGAATGAAGGATCTTTGTGGTTGGGGGAAGTGTCAGGCACTGTGCTAAATGTTTACCAATATTATTTCATTTTTTCCTCACTGCAACCCTTCGAGCTAAGTGCTGTTATTATCCCCATTCTACAGTAAAAGAAACTGAGGCTGACAGAGGTTAAGTGACTTGTACAAGGTCACATAGTAAGTGTCTGAGATTGGATTTGAACTCAAGTCTTTCTGACTCTAAGCCTAGCTCTCTATCTACTTTGCCCCAGGTGCCTCATTGGTATACACGTGACATCAAGAAAAGAAAGGAAAACCTCTTCCTTCCCTGAGTCAGTATTCAGTAATGTCCTCTACTGAGGACATGGGTAAGATTTATGCAGCATGGCCAGCCATTGATGGTTGTGACCTCTATAGTTGTAGATACAACCACATTAATAAGAAAAACAACCATAAATAGATGTTTCTTCACAAGGGAAATGTTATCATTTAAAAAAAAGAGAGAGAGAGATTTATAAAGATCAATAACTTACAGAGGAAGTCTTTCTTCTTTTCCAGAGACAATCTATGGAAAGCCTCCCAAAACATCACAATGGTAGGATGTGACTTATCATATCCTTTGAAATATTTTGAATTCTTGAGAAGGAAAGGGAGAAAGAAAAGTTTATTGAGAAGATATAGACATTATTTGGTAAATTTTAAATCCATTCTCCTATTACATACCTCTTCAAAAACTTTCCAGTCATAATCTGGGTTTCCAGTCGTCACTACTTTAAGCTCCTCGGGATGGAATAAGTTGAGTATCTCTTTTGTACAGACTTTGTAAAATCCCGTTTGGAACTCCTTATAAATCTTTTTCACAGATGTGTTAAAGATGTAATTAATACATCTGGAAACAAAATCTTCCCTTTATGGAAGCCAGAAGATAATCTTTGTTAATATATAGATATATATGTTTCTCTCCATGCATACAAACACACACACACACACACACACACATACAAACACGTGTATATAATCTATATCTTTGTTACTTTGTTCTTTTTTTCTCATCCTCCAATTTGCACTTAAATAGAACGTAGAAGATTTTCATACTTTGTACAACCTTATAAAACAGAGGGGATATAGAAACATCTGGCCAGTTAGAAAGTATTTAAAGTGTATAGAAGCAGCAGGTGATGAACCACAGGGACAGGATAGACCTTTTAATAGTGATTCTTATGCCACCCTGACCTGAATAAGAGTAATGCCATAGCAGGCCACTGTCAAAGAATAACAGTCATTAGACACTTATGTATAACATGCTTAGTACCTACTTCAATAGCCCTGGCCACAGAAAAATATGAGTATTGTTACCATATCTTAAGAGGGAGTAGAATTCTGATAGACTGGTAGTTTGTCTTTTCAGGAAGGTCTTGTCATGGCTGAAGAGAGATCATATAAGGACACAGAAAAAGAAATTCTTTCCTGAGAGAATTATTTTAACTCTTATCTTGGGGGGAAAAACTTTATTAAGAGAATGGTGGGCCTGTGCTGAGTTGAGAAGTCAGAAGTAAGTAGCAGTGATGGTTAGGGATGACTCTGGTAGTGATCTTTCACACAGATAATGTATTTTAGGTAATTATTTATGTCTTTTTAAACCTAGAACACATGTGTGTGGTGTGTGTGTGTGTGTGTGTGTGTGTGTGTAATCTCTCTTCTCTTACTTTCTCTTCTCCCCTCTAGGTATGAACATATACATATACGTATATACACATGTGTGTATATGTATATGATCTCCATGTGTGTATATACACACACATACATACATACACATGCATCTATATATCCACACATACATATATAGTGTATATATATATATACACTAGTATATAGTATAGTGTATATATATATATAATTTATATATGGTATTACATATAAAATTTATATATAGTATTATATATAAATGGGCAGCTCAGTTGTATAGTTGATAAGAGTGCCAAGCCTAGAGTCAGGAAGATTCATCTTCCTGAATTCAAATCTGGTCTCAGACACTTACTAGTTATGCAACCCGGGGCAAGTCACTTCACCCTATTTGACTCTGTTTTTTCTCATCTGTAAAATGAGCTAAAGAGGGAAATGGCAAACCTTTCCAGTATCTTTGCCAAAAAAAAAAAATAAATAAACAAACCCAAATGGGGTCATGAAGAGTCAGACACAACTGAAAAACAACTGAGTAACAATATATACACAACACATATATCTCTTTATTGTAGGCTTTTGCTTATGAGCTTATGGGGAAAGAGGTTTCTCTAGTTAAATATTTAATAAATGAAAAACTGGAGTTGGGGGAAAGTTGTTATCTAACTTGATCCTCAGAAAAAAGAATGAATGAAAAACATCTATTAAGCACTTACTATGTGCCAAGCATTGTGCTAAGGTCCTTGTCTTTAAGGAACTTACTTTCTAATTGGGGTAATAATATGTAGGGAAGTGGTAGGCAGAGAAGGGAGTTATGGTATGGGAAGTCACAAAGATGGTTAGTAGAACAATAGAGCGGTCCATTAGTATCCCCTTTCCAGAGGCAATGGTAGTGGATACCAGTGATTTAATGATGAAAAGGAGAAGTGGAGAGAGTATTTATGAAATACTCCACAGTGAAAAATGGGCAATGTGAAATTGTAATCCTGGACTAGGGAAGTAATTATAGATTAGAAAAATATTAATTGAATATCTAAATACAATCAAATTGTGTCATTTGTGGTAGTTATACTTTATAAAGTTGCCACAAACACCAAATCAGTGAATACTGAACCATTGCTTCTAGGGGGAGTGCAGGGTTAGGTTCCTGTGAGCCTCTGGTCACAAAATTTACCTTAGCACTTTCTAAAGTGACTGGCAAATTTCCTCTTCCTTCTTCTGACTGCACTACATTGTGTGATTCATTAACATTGAACTCACGGCCAACACCACTAAAACTTATGCCTGAACAAACGTATTTTCCGATACACAGATTTTCTCCGTGAGGATTCAGCCTCAGTAGCGAAGCAGCGTTTTAGGTGACAGATTTTTCGATGCTCTGCCTGCATCTATGATGCCTATGAAAGTGCTGTGAGTATGATTTTGGGGCTATAAATAAATTTTAGTGAATAGGCAAATTCACAGATATGGAACCTGCCAAGAATGAGGCTTGACCTCGTAAGTTTGAGTGGGTGTATTTTAATGACTTTGTATTATTACATATAGATTGTTAATGACCCAACAAATTTACTATTTCTTAGAGACTAAAATAATAATAATAACAATAAAGGTTTGGCTCACCTTTCTGGAGATAGTTAACAGAAACAAGAAATTAACAGTGCTAATGTATTAAGTCTCTAATGACAGATTGAGAACATTAAAAACAGGTATTTATTTCTACTATACCTACTTGTTGGTTTTGTCCACAAGTATGGAGCTTCCATTTGGAATTAGGTCAACATCTTTTTTATCCCAGTATATCTAAAACCACAAACACGTTCAGGTGACAATATGAAGTGGTCATAGGATAAGAAGGATAAGAAACTGATAGGAATTTAAAGATCATTTAATCTAATCCCATTATTTTACAATAAGAAAAATTTTACAATTTTACAATAAGGAAATAGCTTCAGAAAGATTAAGGGATTTGCTCAGAGCCACCCAGGTAGCAAATTGTGGAGTAAACTGAGAACAGGAAGAGACTTTAGAGAAAATTTTGTCATAAAATCATAAATTTAGAGCTGCAAGCAACCTTAGAGGTCAACTCATCTAATTCTCTCATTTTACAGATGAGGAAGCTGAGGCTAAGAGAGGTGAAATGACTTGTCCAAGGTCATACAACTAATAAGCATCAGAGGTAAGATTCCAGCTCATCACCTTTGACTCCATATGCAATTTTTTCCTATTATATAGCATTTCCTCTTTTTCAGGCAGCCCCCTGCAATTAAGTGATTTCCACTTAAGTCTTTGGACTCCCAAATCAGTGCCATTTCTTCGATATAACACTATATTCATAACCATCTTTTATGCATAGGAATTTTTCTTAGAGAATATCCCCTAACTGACAGCTAAATGAGCCCCTTTATTTAAAAAAATATATGAATGTAAAAAATTTCCAACTCAGTCATTCTTGGATAATGCTGACTGCAAAATAGACTTTTAAAATCTGAATTATCAATGTGTGTTTCATTTTCTATTACGTAGACATATCTCCTACCAAATAAGAAATAAAAACTGGCTTATTGTAGAAGGTAGCATTTCAGTAAGGGGCACTTTAAGCCATTGTGACAGGTGGACATATGTTAAAAGTTCATCTACATACTATTTTTCAGTAGTACTCACAGAAAAATGTATGTCAAATTCTTCTATATCAGCATTTTCATCCAGAAGTAACTTGAAATTGCTGAAGGAAAGATAATTTTAAAAGTTTAAAAAGTCAAAGTGTGTCTTTGTGAAGTAAATCATAGCAGTACGGGGTAGTGGGCAGAACGATAGTGTATTTGCAGTACTACTCTCATCCCAGATCTGCCGTTATCCGACTGTGTGCAAGTTACTTAACCTGTCTGGTCCACCAGGTCTGCTCATCTGTAAAATGCTAGATTCCCTTTGAGTCCCTTCTGCCTCTAAAACCTCATCATTCCCATAAGAACTTCACCCTCTTGCAACCAGAGTTCTAACCTCTTTACTATATTGCAACTGCTTTCTCAATGTTAATTCTGACGACTTTTCATCAGACCTCATTTTTCCTGACTTTTCTGATACTCTGAAAAGTATCGGCCACGCCGTTCTTCTGCTTACTTTCCCTTAGCCTCAATAATCTTCTTTGTAATTCTCCTACCGGTCTGTTACTCCTCTTCCCCTTTCTTTGCTTGATTTCATCTATCTCCTAGCTCCTAAATATGGTTGTCAGAGATTCATAGATCGAGACCTAGGAGGGACTTCAGATCATAAGTTGAGACCTGGAAGGGACTTGTCTTATCTCAGCTTGCTACACTACTTTACTTCTCCACTATGCTTTTTTTTTTTTCAGGCAATTGGGGTTAAGTGACTTACCCAGGGTCATACAGCTAGTGTCAAGTGTTTGGTCTGAGGCCAGATTTGAACTCAGGTCCTCCTGACTTCAGGGATGGTGCCCTATCCATCCACTGCACCGCCTAGCTGTTCTGCACTATGCTTCTTAATGGACAAACTTCATCATCCTGCAGAATCCCACCTGCCTTAGTATTCTGTATCATCCCTACCCCTGACCTTTCAACCTGAAAGGGGGACTATGAACTCCAAAACCTCCATTTAAGAAATGAACTCAGCTCAGAAATTTCATTTCTCACCCAGCTGCACTGCTTTGGGACTTCTTTGAACTCGCCATGCCTCTCCGGGCATGTCGTGAACTTTCCCTGGTATCCCTCCCACTTTTCAGCTTCCTTTGATGTATTGCCTTCCTCCCTTAGATTAAGTTTCTTAAGGGCAGGGACAATCTTTTTTTGTATTTCTATTCCCAGTGTTTAACACAGTGCCCGGCAAATGGTAGGAGCTTAATTGCTGCTTATTGACTACTTATTGACTTCAGATATCATCTAGTACAGAAGTTTCATCTCTCATTGATGCGATTCCCCACAAAGAACTTCAAGAGGACCCCAACACCCACCCCCTTGCCTCCCAAAAAGAAAGGATATCAAAGTCTGACAGTTCCAGAGTTGTGAATTGCCTTGGCAATTGGTATTCCCTGCACACATGCTTCACTACTATTGTACTTTAAGTGTGTATATTTGTGGGGAAAGTATGTGCCTGTTTGGGGGGAAATGCTTTGTAAGTAACTACTGTTCTTGCCATGTCATTTAAGTTAATATCTTTGCCAAAGAACTGGATCTACTCTACTAGCTGATTGTTAAAGGGTAACACACTAGTAGGGGCTTGTGAGCCATAGTGTCGGAAGGATAGAGACCTATAGAACCTTGAAAACATCAGGAGCCACGCTTCTGGGAACCTGACTTGCCATTGCTAGTCAAAGTTGGAGGAATAAGTTGAGAGGGAATGTTATGCTGGAATAGATAACTAAACTTACTTACTTGCCCAATTCAGGACTCAGCTCTTGCAAATCTTCCAGGGAGGGTTTTTGATCCAAAAGTTTCTTATAGAGAGCTAGTGGAAAAGGAAGGTTGGCTACGTTGAAACTGGCTATGGAGAGGCCATACAGTACTCCAAAGAGAAAATACCTTTTCTTGTTGAATTTAGGCTGAAAGAAAAAAGAAAGGGGGAGGATTTATGAACATTTAAAATTGGTATTACACTGATTTTTAAAACTATTATTGTACATATTTAGTTTAGGTTAGATTGTTTAAGATCAAGTTACAAATTACAATAAAAGATCAAATTACAAATTACAATAAAAATGGGTTTGAGGCAAAGTGATTATTTGTGGTTATGTTCAAACACAAAAATATTTTCAAACATGGTGAAATGTGTCTAGTTCAAGGAATACTGTTAATGGCACAGAGCAATTGTTCATTTTACTTCCAACTAAAATGTTCTTAACTGACACGGATTTTTCCTTCAGATTTAGAGCACACACCTGAGAAAAGGGACTAGTTCAGTCTTGGGCTGCATTAAGACCTTATGTGAAGTACTGTGGTCAGTTCTGGGTGCTACAAGTTAAGAAAGGCATTGTGAAGTTGGAGAATGTCTAGAGGTGGTCAGTCAGGTGAAGGGCCTCAGGTTCAGGTTTTGTGAAGATCAGTTCCAGAAACTACATATTTGGCCTGGAGAAAACAAGACTTGGGGGTGGAGGAGCAAGGTGGAACATGATAGTTATCTTTAGGTATTTGAAAGGATATCCTGTGAAGGAGAGACTAAACTGGCTTCATTTGGCCTCAGAGGGCAGGACTGAGAGCAGTTCTGGGTAGAAACGTCAAAGAGGTAAATTTAGGCTTGAAGCCAGATGAAACTTCCTATTAATCAGAGCTGTCTAAAAGAGGAATGGGTTGCCTCAAACAGTTGGTAGGCTCTCTGTTTTAGCGGTCTTTAAGCAAAAGCTAGACAAGCACATGTGACATGTATTATAGTGGGGATTCCTTTCATATGTAGGTCAGTCTCTTCTCAGATTCTGTGATTTCTTTTTCTTTTTCTTTTTTTGTGAGGCAGTTGGGGTTAAGTGACTTGCCTAGAGTCACATAGCTAGTAAGTATCAAGCGATCAAGTGTCTGAAGCTAGATTTTAACTCAGGTCTTCCTGACTCCAGAGCAGGTACTCTATCCATTGCACCACCTAGCTGCCCCTATGATTTCTTTTGGGAAACAAAACTGTGATAAAGTCATGTTACTAATAGGAAAGGGGCAAATGAATATTTAACTATATATACTAGGAACAAAAGAAATGTATATTTGTGCATTTGTGTGTACATATACATACACATGTACATGTATGTCTATATGTGTGTGTGTGTGTGTATGTCAATTCTCCCATTGGGACAACTCCAAGGAGAAAAGATTTAGTTGCACAACCTGGGGAACATGTGACTTAGGTCAGCTTTATACCAAGTGTCATTGTGCCCACAAGGTAGAACTGAGTTTAGAAAAAAAACTGCAGATCAGATAAGTTGATTTCTACTATTTGTTTTAAGAACAGTGGAAGAAAAAAGTAGGAAGGGAGAAAGGTACTCTTAACTCTGGCCAATCTCTTCCTCAATTTCTGCAGCAATTAGACCAGAAAAGAAATGTTGTGTTCTCTCTCTCTCTCTCTCTCTCTCTCTCTCTCTCTCTCT